AGATCTGTGTCACTCATTCGTTCCCTTCCGCGTCGCTGCTGCTGCAATCGGAGCCCGCCGGGCTGTGGCCAGCCGGCTCTGTGCGCTGGACGGGCCGCTGCAGGCCCGCGCGGCTGCGCCACGCGGAGGGGATCGGCGGCGAGGTGCAGGCGAAGAGGCTCGACGATCATGGGCTCCAGAGAGGACCGGCTGTCAGAGGAGGGAGGAGGAGGACGAGGAGGAGGAGGAGGAGGAGGAGGAAGAGGTACCCATACCGCTGCCCCTCTCTCGTTACCCCCCTGTTAGGCCTCCGGGGCGGCCCTCGTCGCCACCGCTGGGTTCGCCTCGAAGTTCTGGTCAGAGCGCGCTCCGGGAGAGGTCCGGGGAGGGTAGCGGTCTCGGTCCTTGTCGGTTGCCCCAAGCCGAGTCCGTGCCGCGCTCGCACTCCGAGGCGTGGGTGAGGAGGTGGAGCAAGAGCGGAGGAGGCTGGAGTGGATTCGGCGACCGAGGCGCTCCTCGAGCGCTCCGCGCAGAAGTTGACCACGAAGAGTGCAGGCGATGTAGCCGAGAAGGCAGCCGACCTGGCTGCCTCGAAAATGGAGGGGCGAATGAGGACCCTCGTGGAAGCTGCTGTCCAGAAAGCCGTGGCACCCCTCGAGCCGAGGATGAAGGAGGGCGAGCAGAAGATGGAGGAGCTTCTGAACCGCCAGTCTACGACAGGCTGGTGCGACGAATTCGAGAGTTTATGTCGAAGAGCCTGTCAGGTGGCGCGATGAGACATGGGTGCCCGTGAGGGCTCTATTGGACCTCGAGGGTGACAACTACACAGTAATATCGTGGCTTGCTGGCCTCTCCAGAGCCACCTCCCATGGCTGTGCGAGGAGGGTGGCGTCCCTCCAGGATCAGCTCCACCTTCAGTGGGCCGAGGCTCGCTTCCTATCAGCGGAAACAGGGGCATATGGCGACGCACATCTTCAGAGAGAGCAACAAAGACGCCGACGCCGAGGCCACCAAGGCATGGTCCACAAAGCGCCGCCATTTCGAGCATCAATAGCCGTGTCTCTGGATAGCACCGACACCGTGGAAAACATAGGGGCTGTTCGACGACGGCAGCCGCAAAGGGCACTATGGCTGCGGCCATGCCCTGCGGTGCTGGCGCGATGACTTCCCCGTGCTGGACTGGGTGGGGCGGGCCAGAGGTTGCTATTAGTTCGGACAAAACACGACGGTGACGAAGGCTTGAATCTACGGATTACGAGATGTGTGTCGACCTCCTTTGCAAAGTATTCCAGTGTACTGGAGCTCGCCCACCTGATGTGAATTCGGCGGCCTCGTGTGGGCTCCGCCCAGCCAGCGGATGAGATTCAAGAGAGAGCCATATGCTTGTCATGATTCATGCTACAACGGCTTCAAAAAAATCCAGGCACCATCATCATCATAGCCATCATCATCAGCAGCATCAGCATAAGCTTCCTATCGTCGTCGTCATCACCATCATAATCAGCATCATCATGCTCAGCATCATCATCAGCAGCATCATCATCAGCATCATCACCAGCATCATCACCATCAGCAGCATCATCATCACCATGAATTTCGTACTGATCCTCCTCATCCTAAGTTTCGTACTGCTCCTCCTCCTGCTCTCATCTTTCTCCTCCTATCATCACCACGAACTTCGTACTGATCCTCCTCATCCTAATCCTCGTACTGCTCCTCCTCCTGCTCTCATCCTTCTCCTCCTCCTCCTCCTCCTCCTCCTCCTCCTGCGCAAGAGGCTTGCACCGCCTTCGCGGGCGCCCAGAGGAGAGGGCTAAGTGACGAACGAGAGGGAAGTTGAAGAGCAGGAAAAAGCAGGAGCATCTCGAACTGGGCGCAGGTCTGGCCCCTAGGGGGGAATTTAGCGCAACACTTCCATCCAGTGAGTGTTGGGGGGGATGGCTGGGCCGTTTAGGGTATTTCTCTGGAGTTCTCTTGGGGCTTCTTGGGGCCTTTTCTGGGGTCATATTGGCGTTCCTTGAAGGGTTTGGGTGGTGTTTCTGAAGGGTATTGGGGCCGTGTGAAGGGAAGTCTTGGGGCGACTTTCGGTTGTGTTGGGAATTGGAACAACTTGGGGGCCGTCTTGGAGGTCAGCCTGGAGCCGCAAGGGCAATTTGAAAGTAT